ACTGTGAACGTTTGTATCCTGGATGAGAATGACAACAGTCCCGCGATCCTCGCGCCTATTCTGAGCACGGCTCCGTTAACAGTGAGAGCATCCCCTATTCTGCTGAAGCGGGATACTTTGTGGCAAAGATCAGGGCTGTAGACGCAGACTCTGGATACAACGCGCTGCTTTCTTATCACCTGTCTGAGCCCAAAGGAAACAACCTCTTCCGGATCGGAACCAGCACCGGGGAGATCAGGACTAAGAGGAGAATGAGTGACAATGACCTGAAAACTCACCCCTTGGTGGTGCTGGTTTCTGATAACGGAGAGCCCTCCCTGTCAGCTACTGTGTCTATTGATGTGGTGGTGGTTGAAAGCACAGCTGACATCCAAACTCAGTTCAGACATGTGCCCATAAAGGAGGAGAGCTTCTCTGATTTGAACCTGTATCTGCTGATCGCCATTGTGTCGGTGTCAGTGATCTTTCTGCTGAGCCTCATCAGTTTAATAGCTGTGAAATGCCACAGGACAGACGGCAGTTTCAGCAGGTACAGCGCCCCAATGATCACCACCCACCCTGACGGGAGCTGGTCTTACTCTAAAGCTACTCAGCAGTATGACGTGTGTTTCAGCTCCGACACACTGAAGAGTGACGTAGTGGTTTTCCCCGCACCGTTTCCGCCTGTAGATGCGGAGCTGATCAGTATAAACGGAGGAGACACTTTCACCAGAACTCAGACTTTACCTAACAAGGACAAGGTAAGAGCAGCACGTCCATAATGGCCCACCATATAGTGGGTCTCACTAAACATTGGCCTTGTTTGCTATTCTTATAATTAGTCGTTCGCTAGTTTCCCCCTCGTCCTTTATTTCTATGTATGGTTTTATACATATAAAACATGCTGTTTTGGAATCTGGCTTTGTACATTTGCTTCCGCTGAATCATCTGAAAAGGGTAACATTGTGCTGCGGTCATCGTCTTCAAAGTGGATGCCAGTCCTCTGCGTTTTAAAGCAGTAGTCGCTGTCCATGGTGCTGTAGTCGAGGTCTGACTCCATGTGAAGAATGGGTTTTGTTGTTGTTTATTCATACAAATAAAAGTTAAGCTCATACTTCTTGACGTAAGTTGACAATAATATTACGTTTTTGTTGTCCTGTCATTGATTTTTCTTTTTTCACATAGTTGCCAACTTTCGTGCGCATAATTCCTCAAAGCGCAGTATGCATCATACATCTGATGGCAGATTAGTTTGCATTGTTGGCGTGCTGTAGTTTTAGTCCATTTTTTTGTTGCCATAAAATAGATGCGTTAACCCTCATTTTAAAATACATAAAATGTTGCATATTAGCAGATAATAGACTAATCAATTCAGTAGGCTATTTTTCTAAAAAAGCAGCCTGATATTTCCCTGCTTTCTGTGCGTTTTAAAATTGGTCATATTTGTGCTGAGCATTAAAGGCGGATGGATTGTTAATGTTATACTGTTTTCATTTGGTGTGAAGTGTAATTAGTCCACAGGGCCATACGGGGGCACTGTAGACCATAACACAGAGATGGATTTTATTTAAGTCGTGAGGCCCCTCCCAGTTTAACAGTGTGATGATGTCTTGTTGGGCTTTCACACAAAGAGACGCAGACGCACAGAGAGAAGGCTGGGGCATCTTCTGCATTGTGGTCAAATTTGAAGAAAAGGGAACACAGTTTCCATTACACTCGACGTCCATGAGACTTGTTTCTATGTTGGTTTCACGACGGGTTGGATTATGTCTTCAATTAACAGGAGTCCCATGGTGGCATACGTGTTATTTGTGCTGCTGAACTGTTACTGGAAAGCTGTGTCCGGGCAGCTCTCCTACTCCATATCAGAAGAGGTGAATCCAGGGACATCTGTAGGAAATATAGCGAAGGATCTAAACCTCAGTGTCGATGATCTGGAGTCTCGGATGTTCCAGATTGTTATCGGATCAAAGAGGAAATTGTTCGAGGTAAATCTAAAGTCTGGTGTTCTCGTTGTCAATGATAGAATAGACCGAGAGGAGCTATGTGCGAAGGCAACGAAATGCACAGTGAGCGTAGAGGCTGTGATAAATGCTCCACTGAAGCTTTATCGTTTAGACATAAATATTCTAGATGTAAATGACAATCATCCGTCTTTCAGTGCTAATTCGCAAAGTATCGAAATAGCCGAAAGCACACTACCTGGGACAAAATTTCTTGTGCTGTCTGCCTATGATGCCGATGTAGGAAAGAATGGCATCATTACGTACAAGCTGAATCAAAATGAACATTTTTCATTATCATTGAACAAAGGAGAGAGTGTGTCTGCCGAGCTAGTCCTCCAGAAACCTTTAGATCGAGAAAAACAGCCTATAATTAAACTCACGTTGACTGCTGTAGACGGAGGGACACCTCCAAAATCCGGAACATCACAGATAATAATTAATGTCTTAGATGTTAATGATAACGTTCCAGTATTTACTAAACCACTATATAAAACAAGTATTACTGAAAATGTACCACTTGGTGCACCCGTAATAACAGTAACAGCAACAGATGCTGATGAAGGACCAAACGGGGAGATTTCATATTCACTGAGCAGCAAAGATCAAGACCATGTTTTGGAAACATTTCAAATTGATGAGCTCACGGGTTTATTGACAGTAAAGGGGGAGATTGATTTTGAAGAGCACCCGGCTTTTGAAATCCGCGTGCAAGCTAGTGACAAAGGTTATCCTCCAATGGCAGCACAGTGTAAATTACTAATAGAGGTGGTGGATTTAAATGATAATATTCCTGAAATATCTGTAACATCACTAATTAACAGAGTAAAAGAGGATGCAAAAATAGGTACAGCTGTGGCCCTCGTGTCAGTCCTGGACAGAGATGGGGGTAAAAATGGAGTAGTTAATTGTGATATTAAAAATGATAGCCCCTTTAAATTGGAGACAAATTATAAGAACTATTACTCTTTGGTAGTGGATGGACAGCTAGACAGAGAGAGTGCTTCACATTATAATGTCACCGTCATAGCTACAGATGATGGGAGCCCAGCTCTCACGAGCACAAGCGATCTAACTGTTTATATTTCCGACGTCAACGACAACTGGCCTACTTTTTCAGACACTTTGGTCAATGTTTATTTAAAAGAGAACAGTCCAGTAGGAGCAGTTATTAAAACAGTGACTGCAGCTGATGCAGACATTGACCAAAATGCCCAGGTGAGCTATTCAATTGTAGAAACTAACAGTAACTCGTTGCCCTTATCTACAATGATTAACATCAACTCAGAGACTGGAGATATAGTCAGCCTGCAGTCTTTTAACTACGAGGAGTTAAAAACGTTTCAGTTTAAAGTTCAGGCCACAGACTCTGGTGTTCCTCCGCTCAGCAGCAACGTGACTGTGAACGTTTGTATCCTGGATGAGAATGACAACAGTCCCGCGATCCTCGCGCCCTATTCTGAGCACGGCTCCGTTAACAGTGAGAGCATCCCCTATTCTGCTGAAGCGGGATACTTTGTGGCAAAGATCAGGGCTGTAGACGCAGACTCTGGATACAACGCGCTGCTTTCTTATCACCTGTCTGAGCCCAAAGGAAACAACCTCTTCCGGATCGGAACCAGCACCGGGGAGATCAGGACTAAGAGGAGAATGAGTGACAATGACCTGAAAACTCACCCCTTGGTGGTGTGGTTTCTGATAACGGAGAGCCCTCCCTGTCAGCTACTGTGTCTATTGATGTGGTGGTGGTTGAAAGCACAGCTGACATCCAACTCAGTTCAGACATGTGCCCATAAAGGAGGAGAGCTTCTCTGATTTGAACCTGTATCTGCTGATCGCCATTGTGTCGGTGTCAGTGATCTTTCTGCTGAGCCTCATCAGTTTAATAGCTGTGAAATGCCACAGGACAGACGGCAGTTTCAGCAGGTACAGCGCCCCAATGATCACCACCCACCCTGACGGGAGCTGGTCTTACTCTAAAGCTACTCAGCAGTATGACGTGTGTTTCAGCTCCGACACACTGAAGAGTGACGTAGTGTTTTCCCCGCACCGTTTCCGCCTGTAGATGCGGAGCTGATCAGTATAAACGGAGGAGACACTTTCACCAGAACTCAGACTTTACCTAACAAAGACAAGGTGAGTCCAATAAAGTTTCTTCAAATCCCTTCTACACATCGCCATTGTCTTCCATTTGAAATTTCTGAGAAATGGTAACACGTAAGAAAGCCCTTGCCCTTTTGCAGAGACACATCTAAGTTGTGCTGTATGTATTACACTCACCCTTTTAGACAAAAACGTCGCTTATGTCAGTTATGCTTGTAACACAACAACAGTTTCAATCAATACCAACAAGGTTTTTCTTCATGAATGTATGCAACATAATATTTTTTGTACAAAATATATCACCTGCTTTAATGTTCTACCTATAACTGAGCAATGACCTTTGTTTTTCAACACACTGTACTGCATCACACTTTTAAATACTGACGAAAGTTTTTACATATTAGGTGTTTTAAAACCATGAACAAAACATGAAAACTGTTTTTAAGTCATTGACACTTGCGATGTGCTCCGCCAGCGTACTCTGTATGGAAACAGATCATCTTCTATACCATTTTCTTTGAAACCTTGAGCCTACAATATGTCCATTAAGTACAACTTACTGAGCACCTCTTCAGACCACAGACTTAGCCTTGTAGAAAGGCGTGCGGTGCTCTCATTGGTCCTGAAATAAGAACAGTTTCTTAAATTACCCTGTAATAAATTGTACCATTTGATTTTATGTTTTCATTAGCATGCAGTTTCTAGTAAGTTTGAATCAGAGGAATAGAGTCCTGTCACTGTAGATATTTAAAATCACCACAAGGCGACATTGTAGACCATAACATGAAGATTTCTCTTTTCGTGTTTAACGCCCCTCCCATAGGCAGTTCACAGAGCTTTGTAACAAAGAGATGTTTAGACGAGAGAGAGTGCGGCAGCAGCCTTTCTAGTCCCGACTGAAAGGAAAAATTGATGATTCACGGCTGGATTGTTTTATAAAAACTGTAAGATTTGAATACATGCTGTGTTTACGCCAGGAGGAAATATGCCTTTAACGAGTAGCAAGTGTCCTGTCTGGATATATTTGATGCTTCTGATACTGAATTACTGCTGGGATGCAGCGTCTGGCCAGTTCTCTTATTCCGTTGCAGAGGAGTTAAACTCGGGGACATTTGTTGGAAATATCGCTAAGGATTTACACCTAAACGTACAGGATTTGGAATCCCGTATGTTCAGAATTGTTGCTGGATCAAAGAAAAAATATTTCGAGGTAAATACGAAGACTGGTGTCCTGTATGTTAGTGAGAGAATAGACCGAGAGGAGCTCTGCGCGAAAGCAGTGAAATGTACTGTTACTGTCGAGGCTGTCATAAATGAGCCTCTAAAGCTGTACCGTATAGAAATTAATATTCTTGATGTCAACGATAATTTTCCGTATTTCATTGCAAAGTCACAAAGCATAGACATTGCTGAAAACACATTACCTGGGATAAGATTTCCGCTGCTACAAGCCTACGATGCAGATGCAGGAAAAAATGGAATAAGCACATACAAGCTCAGCCCCAATGAACATTTCTCATTAGCAACAAGCAAAGCGGGGGAGAGTATTTCTGCTGAGTTGGTGTTACAGAAAGCGTTAGACAGAGAAAAGGAGCCTCTGATCACGCTAACTTTAACAGCGTTAGATGATGGGAGTCCACCAAAGTCTGGAACGTCAGATATTCTAATTAATGTTTTAGACATTAATGATAATACGCCAGTGTTTGCAAAGTCGCTGTACAAAACTCGATTGTTTGAAAATGTACCTACTGGTACCACTTTACTGACTTTAAATGCTACAGACGCAGACGAAGGAACAAACAAAGAAATCATATTTGCACTTAACAGAAAGGAGCAGGACCACATACTGGAGATGTTTAAAATCAACCCAAACACTGGCACACTGACAGTTGTGGGAAATGTAGACTTTGAAGAACACCCCGCGTTTGAGATTCGTGCACAGGCCAGTGACAAAGGGCAGCCTCCCATGTCTGCTCATTGTAAGGTACTGGTAGAAGTGGTTGACCTAAATGACAATGCTCCTGAGATCACCGTGACATCACTAGTGAAAACAGTGAAGGAGGATGCTAAAGTAGGTACTACTATTGCTCTTGTCTCTGTACTGGACAAAGACGGAGGCAAGAATGGTGAAGTGCATTGTACAATCGATGACAAGAATCCCTTTAAATTGGAAACAAACTACAACAACTATTACTCGTTAGTGGTTGATGGGCCCCTCGACCGAGAGGGCATCACTCACTATAATGTCACCATAATAGCAAGTGATGGAGGCAACCCCCCTCTCTCCAGCACCAATGTAATTACGATTCAGGTTTCCGATGTCAATGATAACGCACCTCGCTTCTCATCGCCAGACATTAATATTTATGTAAAGGAGAACAGCCCAGTCGGAGCAGTTCTCAAAACAATATCAGCACATGATGCTGACATGAATGAAAATGGCCAGGTTAGATACTACTTTTTAGAACGTAACACCAATTCAGCCCCGCTGTCCACGATGGTGAACATCAACTCAGAGACTGGAGATATAGTCAGCCTGCAGTCTTTTAACTACGAGGAGTTAAAAACGTTTCAGTTTAAAGTTCAGGCCACAGACTCTGGTGTTCCTCCGCTCAGCAGCAACGTGACTGTGAACGTTTGTATCCTGGATGAGAATGACAACAGTCCCGCGATCCTCGCGCCCTATTCTGAGCACGGCTCCGTTAACAGTGAGAGCATCCCCTATTCTGCTGAAGCGGGATACTTTGTGGCAAAGATCAGGGCTGTAGACGCAGACTCTGGATACAACGCGCTGCTTTCTTATCACCTGTCTGAGCCCAAAGGAAACAACCTCTTCCGGATCGGAACCAGCACCGGGGAGATCAGGACTAAGAGGAGAATGAGTGACAATGACCTGAAAACTCACCCCTTGGTGGTGTTGGTTTCTGATAACGGAGAGCCCTCCCTGTCAGCTACTGTGTCTATTGATGTGGTGGTGGTTGAAAGTACAGCTGACATCCAGACTCAGTTCAGACATGTGCCCATAAAGGAGGAGAGCTTCTCTGATTTGAACCTGTATCTGCTGATCGCCATTGTGTCGGTGTCAGTGATCTTTCTGCTGAGCCTCATCAGTTTAATAGCTGTGAAATGCCACAGGACAGACGGCAGTTTCAGCAGGTACAGCGCCCCAATGATCACCACCCACCCTGACGGGAGCTGGTCTTACTCTAAAGCTACTCAGCAGTATGACGTGTGTTTCAGCTCCGACACACTGAAGAGTGACGTAGTGGTTTTCCCCGCACCGTTTCCGCCTGTAGATGCGGAGCTGATCAGTATAAACGGAGGAGACACTTTCACCAGAACTCAGACTTTACCTAATAAAGACAAGGTAAGAACATTAGCATTAAGTACTTATTATTGCACTATTTCTAAAGCATCGACAAAAGCACAACAGGCTACAGTTGATAAAATGTCAACCTACTCAACATATAGCTACTTTATATATAATTTCTATTTTAAGTACTATAGCATGAATCGTTTTAAAACGGCATAATTAAATCTGCAGCACGTAATGCGCATCTCATTCATAGCTGACTTCTAATTCGGCATTTTAATGCGATTTGCTCTATGCAACTGTCTGAATTTGTGTTGTTTGCACGCCTCAAGACATAAAGGTCAAAGAAATGGTCTGTTCAACTGTTCCATGTTTTTAATACATTTAAACATATCTAATGCTACGCTGAACACTACAGTAGCTATATCACAGAAATCATCAATCGCCTTCTAAGTATCTGTAACACATTTGCCGTAAATTATCTCTGCAGTTACGAAAACACTGCGTATTAAACGGGATATGTCGTTACATTCAAGGCCAGAACATAAAGTAATTATGCACATTAGTACACTATGTCGGGAACGTGTGCTATTTAGTGTTTGTTTTTATCAGCAGGGCTTTACCTCAGGTAGGTTAAACTGGCTTGACCTTTGAACAAACGTAATTAATATGGTAGGAGTAAGATAATAAACACATACAATTTAGAAAAAAGAGTAACTGTGGGTGCATATTCGGTACTTTTGAACGGAACGTCGCTAGCCATGGTGCTGAAAGTACGTTTGTATGGACCCTATACTCTCTAAAAATAGCAACCAGTTATATTTAAAAAACATTCATACACGTGAATGCTGTCAGACTTTATTATTCCTCGGGAAGGTCTCCGTTGTACCTATTTTTTTCTCTAGTTGCTGGACATAAAGCGAAGTTGAGTGTTTGCTATATGTTTATGGATTTATATTTGTGATTTACAAGTCTCTTCTGTTCCAAAAACAGTGGACTCACTGAAGAAGAGTCCCATTATTTCCGTCAGTTTTCACATCTTTTATTTATTTCTATCTTAGTTTTCAGGACAATCTAATTTGCTGAAAAACAATAAATAGTGGAATAAAAGACGGAGTCATGTTGACCATATATTTTCTTGAGATTTGGCTAAATGTTTCAGGGTACATAAAGTAGAGGTCGGTGTAACATTGTTATGTTTGATGTTGGATGTAGTTGTTGCAAGTGTCCACATGGGGACATTGTAGACCATCACATCTGAACTTCCTCTCTGGTTGCTCGGGGCTCCTCCCAGATTCAGAGGACTATGATGTTTCTCTGGCGACTGAAACAAAGAGACGGAGACGGTGAAAGAGAAGAGACGACGACAATTTCCGTGTGGTGGTTTCTATTGCTTTGGTGTATTTGTCTACTCAGCTTCACTTCTTTATTTTTGTGACGGAACTGAATGAACCTGTCTCTATGATTATTCTCGATGTATGGAATTATGCATTCACCGAGCAGAAGGAGCTCTGTGTGGATTTATCTCTTGGTCGTGCTGCTGGATTGTTACTGGGAAGCGGTGTCTGGGCAGCTCTCTTACTCCGTCTCAGAGGAGGTAAATCTGGGGACTGTTGTCGGAAATATCGCTAAAGATCTGAACCTCAATGTCCAGGATTTGGAGTCCCGCATGTTTCAGATCGTTGCTGGATCAAAGACAAAATATTTCGAGGTAAATCTAAAGACTGGTGTCCTGTATGTCAATGAGAGAATAGATCGAGAGCAACTCTGCGGCGACGAGCCCAAATGTTCACTGAGTGTAGAAGCAGTTATTAGCAACCCATTAAAACTGTACCGTATTGAAATTGTAATATTAGATGTAAATGATAATTCCCCGTCATTTCTCAGCACATCACAGGTAATCGACATTAGTGAGAGCACAGCAGCGGGGGCGAAATTCCCTCTGCATCCTGCTGACGATGCAGACGTCGGTAAAAACACTGTAAATACCTACAAACTCAGCCAAAATGAACACTTCACTTTGGCTACACATAAAGGAGAAAGTGTAACTCCCGAATTGCTGCTTCAGAAAGTTTTAGACAGAGAGAAACAGTCTGTGATCAGACTCACACTGACCGCGATTGATGGAGGAACTCCTGCTAAATCTGGCACTATGGTAATTACAATCAATGTCTTGGACATTAATGATAACGCTCCTGTATTCAGTCAAACTCTGTACAAGGCCAGTGTGTATGAGAATGTAAAGATAGACACATCGATAATAATGCTAAATGCTACTGATTTAGATGCTGGAAAAAATGGCCAAGTGATATATTCATTCAGTAAAGTAGGCAGAGGAAAAAACGCAGATGTGTTTGCTATAGATGAAAAAACAGGGACAGTAACAAATACAAAGAATATCGACTTTGAAGAAAATAATGCTTTTGAGATTCGAGTACAGGCCAGTGATGGGGCTTCCTCACCAATGACCTCACATGCCAAGTTACTGATTGAAGTTTTAGACGTTAATGATAATGCACCTGAAATTTCAGTTACGTCATTGTTAAACACTGTGAAAGAAGACGCGTCCATTGGTACCGCCATTGCACTTGTTTCAGTATTTGATAAAGACGGAGGGAAAAATGGGATGGTGAACTGTAAGATTTCCAATAATGTACCTTTTAAATTAGAATCAAATTATAAGAATTACTACTCGCTGGTGGTGGACGGTCCTCTTGACAGAGAGAGCGCATCTCAATATAATATCAGCATCACTGCTACTGATGAGGGCAGCCCCCCTCTTTCCAGCACGAGCGTTATTACTGTACACGTCTCAGATGTAAATGACAACAAACCTCTGTTCACAGAAAATATAATCAATGTCTATGTGAAAGAAAACAGTCCAGTGGGGGCAGTTATAAAAACAGTTTCAGCAGTTGATGCAGACATCGATCAAAATGGTCAGGTGAGCTATTCATTTTTACAAACTGACAGTAACTCGCTGCCTCTCTCGACAATGATTAACATTAACTCAGAGACTGGAGATATAGTCAGCCTGCAGTCTTTTAACTACGAGGAGTTAAAGACGTTCCAGTTTAAAGTTCAGGCCACAGACTCTGGTGTTCCTCCGCTCAGCAGCAACGTGACTGTGAACGTTTGTATCCTGGATGAGAATGACAACAGTCCCGCGATCCTCGCGCCCTATTCTGAGCACGGCTCCGTTAACAGTGAGAGCATCCCCTATTCTGCTGAAGCGGGATACTTTGTGGCAAAGATCAGGGCTGTAGACGCAGACTCTGGATACAACGCGCTGCTTTCTTATCACCTGTCTGAGCCCAAAGGAAACAACCTCTTCCGGATCGGAACCAGCACCGGGGAGATCAGGACTAAGAGGAGAATGAGTGACAATGACCTGAAAACTCACCCCTTGGTGGTGCTGGTTTCTGATAACGGAGAGCCCTCCCTGTCAGCTACTGTGTCTATTGATGTGGTGGTGGTTGAAAGCACAGCTGACATCCAGACTCAGTTCAGACATGTGCCCATAAAGGAGGAGAGCTTCTCTGATTTGAACCTGTATCTGCTGATCGCCATTGTGTCGGTGTCAGTGATCTTTCTGCTGAGCCTCATCAGTTTAATAGCTGTGAAATGCCACAGGACAGACGGCAGTTTCAGCAGGTACAGCGCCCCAATGATCACCACCCACCCTGACGGGAGTTGGTCTTACTCTAAAGCTACTCAGCAGTATGACGTGTGTTTCAGCTCCGACACAATGAAGAGTGACGTAGTGGTTTTCCCCGCACCGTTTCCGCCTGTAGATGCGGAGCTGATCAGTATAAACGGAGGAGACACTTTCACCAGAACTCAGACTTTACCTAACAAAGACAAGGTAAGAGAATAGTTTCAAAAGTGCTTAACAAAAGAGGTCTTTGTGCTTTGTAACGGTCAACAAACTGTCATGGTATTTGGGAACTCTCCTATCAATTAAGACGGAATTCATATCAAGCAGAAGTAATTCTGGCTATTGTGTTTGTAAGTCTATATTGTTGATTGTAGCTTGCTGTTCATTTGTTGATGTTTTTTTTTTAAATTCCAGTTATATTCGGTTGCTGAGCCACAATCTCATTGTGGGTCGCTCTCCGCGGTACTGAATGCAACTTTTTAAAAGTCGCTTGTAATTTCCAGAACGAGATGCAAAACAAAATATTGTTGAAGTGCGGTTTTTAAAAAATAAATTTACACATATTTGGCAACAACAGGTGAACACCATGTTTACATTTTTCATAATATATGTTCAAGGAAACACGTTGATTTGATCTTTGTAGTTACTTTGCTCTTAAGTTAAAAAAAAAAAAAAAAACACAGTGTAGTTTTTACCATAACAAATTTCTCACTCACTGTTGTTGCAGTACACTTCAGTCACATAATGTTAATTTTAATATTAGGTGGACTCAAAGTGCTTGTTTTGATATTTTAACTTTTAGTTATTTCAACTGCTTTATGTTTAAGGATCATTTATCATATTTAGTACTTTCTCATTTCATTAAGTTTAATGTAGCATGTAGTTATGAGATATGTCCACACGGGGACACTGTAGACCATCACATCTGGAAGGTCTATTTGGTGGTTTAGGGCTCCTCCCAGATTCAGCGGATGATGTATGTGCTGGCTTTGTTACAAACAGAAGTCGGACGGCGGTTGTCCTATTCGGTCTTGAAAATGCAGAAAGATTTGTTTGGAATGTTTCTTTCTTGATCGCGTGGTTGTTGTAACGTGTTGTCAAGATTTGCCTACATGCTCCTTCTCGATGTGTAGAATTATGCATTCACCGAGCAAAAGGAGCTCTTTGTGGATTTATCTCTTGGTCGTGCTGCTGGATTGTTACTGGGAAGCGGTGTCTGGGCAGCTCTCTTACTCCGTCTCAGAGGAGGTAAATCTTGGGACCGTTGTCGGAAATATCGCTAAAGATCTGAACCTCAATGTCCAGGATTTGGAGTCCCGCATGTTTCAGATCGTTGCTGGATCAGAGACAAAATATTTCGAGGTAAATCTAAAGACTGGTGTCCTGTATGTCAATGAGAGAATAGATCGAGAGCAACTCTGCGGCGACGAGCCCAAATGTTCACTGAGTGTAGAAGCAGTTATTAATAATCCATTGAAACTGTACCGTATTGAAATTACAATCTTAGATGTAAATGATTATTCGCCTTCATTTCTAAGAACGTCGCAGTTATTGAACATTAGTGAGAGCACAGCAGCGGGGGCGAAATTCCCCCTGCATCCTGCTCATGATGCAGACGTCGGTAAAAATACTGTAAATACCTACAAACTCAGCCAAAATGAACACTTCTCTCTGGCTACACATAAAGGAGAGCGTAACTCCCGAATTGCTGCTTCAGAAAGTTTTAGACAGAGAGAAACAGTCTGTGATCAGACTCACACTGACCGCGATTGATGGAGGAACTCCTGCTAAATCTGGCACTATGGTAATTACAATCAATGTCTTAGACATTAATGATAACGCTCCTGTATTCAGTCAAACGCTGTACAAGGCCAGTGTGTATGAGAATGTAAAAATAGGCACATCGATAATAACGCTAAATGCTACTGATTTAGATGCTGGACAAAATGGACAGGTATTGTATTCATTCAGTGAAGTAGGCAGAGGAAAACAAACAGATCTGTTTGCTATAGATGAAAAAACAGGGACTGTAACAAATAAAAAGAATATCGACTTTGAAGAAAATAATGCTTTTGAGATTCGAGTACAGCCAGTGATGGGGCTTCCTCACCAATGACCTCACATGCCAAGTTACTGATTGAAGTTTTAGACGTCAATGATAATGCACCTAAAATTTCAGTTACATCATTGTTAAACACTGTGAAAGAAGACGCGTCCTTTGGCACCGCCATTGCACTTGTTTCAGTATTTGATAAAGACGGAGGGAAAAAT